CCCCCCACTGTTGCCCTGCTGCACGAGCCAAGCGGATGCAAAGCACTCCCTGGCAAGTATACAGCGGGGACTTCTTGGCGCCACCACGCTGTGCACTGGATGGGTGTGCCACGGCAGTGCCGGCCCTTTGGTTGGTTCGCAGTGTTTCCTCCTCAGACCTGCGCACCCGCTGGCCCGCCTCCACGCAGAATATGTGGGAGCGTGAGGATGGAGTGCAGCAGGCGCGGGAAGCGGCTCTGGCGGACATTGAAAGGCTGGAGACAGGCGAGGCCTTCACGCTGCTGCGCCAGTCAACGGGAGGGGCGGCGGCGGCGGCGACCGCGGCGCCAACGGCGTCAGCCGCGGCTGCGCGGCCAAAGGTGCTGGCTACTGGGTCGGCCGGGAGCAGCGGCAGCAAGCAGGCGGCGGACTGAGGCAGGAGAGCCAGGGGCACGCACTGCAGCCGCCGCGGCGGCGCCTGCATTGGGTGGCCGCGTTTGTGGGGGTGCATTCAATAAAGTTTACGCGTGGCACACAGCAGCGACATGACGACATTGCTGCAGCAGCTGCACCGTGCAATGTGGTGTCACCTGCTGTCAATGGCTTCATGCAGTGTGATCACTTTTTCAACAACATTGGATTGTCAAATCCTTGCAGGCGCAATCTGTGCTGCTCGAAGCCAACCTAGCACCTGGCTCAAGCCAGGGTTTGTGCAAATTGGCCATGGTACCGGTGGTGAGCACAAGTCTGGCACACATGCATGCGCACGCACACGCGCACGCGCGCCCCCCCCCACACACACATACACACACGCGCGTGCGCGCGCGCAAACAACCCCCACACACCACGGATGTGCACGTATGGGCAGCCGCGCACACAATCAACACGCTGTGCCGCTGTTAGCCAGGCAAAGGCGAGACGACGAGGCAGACAAATGGGCTCAACACTCAATGAAATCAGTGAAGGCGCCGCCAGCAAGTTGATCCGAGCGCTGCTTGAATTGCACAGGTGTGTGTGTGTGTGTGTGTGTGTGTGTGTGAGCGTGTGTGTGTGTGTGTGTGTGTGTGTGTGTGTGTGTGTGTGTGTGTGTGTGTGTGTGTGTGTGTGTG